CACCCCCCTCCACAAACACACTGCAGTTCTACCTGTGACCAAATACAAAACAATGATAAAAAATGTATAACACAATTCCTCTGTAAGTGCTGGAACCAACAAAGATTCCACGGAAAGGCAATAGCCAGCACAGCCCTCCCAGCTGAGCAGCTGCAGGAGGGAGCAGCTGATGGCTTCAAGCCAACTACAGGCCTAAAACACAGCCCATGAAAAGAGCTCTGAGGTAAAGCACTTCACTGCCGAGCCTGCTCTCTGCTGAAGGATATCTCTGCTTCAGTGGAAGCAGCTGAAAGCTGCTCTGGCGAGATCTCCACACGGTCTTTCCTCTTGTCAGAGCGGCGCAGGATTATCACAGAATGGATGTGGACGATCCGGCTGGTGTCAACCTAATGACACAAAGGGGAAATCAGTGATTCCTCTACTAGAGAAACAACAACCGGCAGGGCTGGGCTGCTCTGCGCATCACAATGCACAGGTGCGACCCGGAACACGCCAGGGTACGGGGATGGAAAGCTTTCCTGACTCCGTGCTTCGACTCTCCCAGGAGCTGACCTACGCGCTGGCGGCTGCCAGGGCCGCAGGAGAGATGGGTGCCGAGGTGCGCGATGCCGGCGGTAACAGCCCGCACCCCGCCGTGCCACAGCTCCGCGCAAGCCACAACCCGCATAGGCAGCGCCGCCACCCGCCCCTCCCCGGGGCCGCCCCTCCGCGGGCGGTACCTCTCCGATGCAGAGCCCCATGACCTCCTCCTTCTCGGTGCTCAGTGCGTGGTTCAGGCACACCAAGAACGCGTCCGCCTCCAGGTGCACCGCCTGCACCGCCATCTTGCCCTCCTCGGCAGCCTCTCCTTCGCCCCGCCCCCATGGCGGATAGACCAATAGCAGCGGCGCTCGCTGGCCCTGCCAGCCAATCGGCGCAGCCTCCGGTGAGGCGAGAGGTGCGGCGCGGCGGAAGGGCCGTGCCGCCCACGGCAGCGGCAGCGTCGGGGTTCCGCCGGGGTTCCGCGCGGTGGCCGATGCCCGCGGCGGACCGGCAAGGGGTGGCAGGGCCGGGCCTGAACGGGACGGCTCGGCCCGATCCGGCTTAATCTGACTCGGCTCGGCCCAGGGCCCGGCCCCCGGGGCCCGCGCGCAGGCACGGGGAGGCGGCGGGTCCGGGGGGCGGGGGACGGCTTTGCGCGGCGCACGCGGCGCGGCGGTCACGGCGCGGGTGCAGGTAGGTCATGGCGGGCCCGGCCCGTGGGGCCCGCCCGCCTGCGGCCGTCTCACGCCCAGGGCCGCCCGCCCAGCCCCGCGGCCCCGGCCCGGGGAACACGCGGTGGCTGTGCCCTCCTCCCGCCCGCCCCGCCATGGCCGATCCGGGCCCACGCCCGTACCACACCCCCTCCCCTCCGGTCCTTGCCCGGCTTGGCCACACCGCTCCCTGCTCCCGCTCCTCGGCCCGGCTCTTGCATCCCTTCCCTCGCCCTCCCCGCCCCTCTGCGTGGCTCCCCCCGAATTATCTCCATCTTTTTGTCTTCCTGTTTTTTTAGATCCCACCAAAGCTCGGCCTGCTCTCCCCACGCTGCTGGACTGCCCGGCTGGTCGGTGAGCATCTGCTACCCCTCAGTAGGTCGGGCAGAGCGGAGCGTGGAGTCAGAGGGGCTTGCTCCAGGCAGAGTAGAGTCCAAACCCCCAAGAAGAAGCTTTAGAGTGTCTCCATATGCCCTTAAGTCGTCAGATCATCAGATCCCTGTGTTGTTGCCTGAGCTGGGCTGAGTTTTTCAGGAAGGCTCAGCACCCTTGTAGCCCTGAGGTGTGCAGGCAGCTGCCATGCCCCAGCAGACCAGGCTGGCCAGTCTTGCTCTAGGGGCAGTAACTGTATCAGCACAGCCCTGCTGAGCCTCAGCAGTGCTTTTCCTTGGTGCCTAAATGGCAGCTGAACTCCCAGTTGCTTTTTAGAACAGAAGGTGATAAAGGGTGGAGTTTGTTCAGTACACTGACCTCCAGCTCTGGGCCGGTCCAAGCAGCATCTGGAGCAACTTGTGTCACTGTTTCCATAAAATACTTTAATGTACCCAACTTAAAACCAAATAAATTGTCGTCACTACAAGCTGCATTCCTCCTCCTGGCCATTTTGATATTTATCCATATATTATGGCTGAGAAATCCATCCAGGTCCCAGAACAGTGTTAAACTTTTAAGATTGATGGACAGAACATCTACCAATATTATTCCTGTCTGTGGGGATTGGTATTTGAATTTCCCCAAAACAACACTTTGAACAGCTCAGCCTTCTACAGCTATGTTGATGGGAATGTTAAAGTCGCAAAGAATGATGCTGCAATCCTGCAAATTTAAGCTGTTGGGGGTTTTGTTGGTTACAGTGGGGTTTTTGATAGGTCATGAAGCAAGCAGTGTAAGAACCCAGGTTTAAAACTTGGTTAAAATATAAGTAAGTTCTCTTCTTCCACCCATGTCTTCCTTCAGGCTTTGTTTTTGATTTCTGATCAAACCTGCAGAAATAGACACTGTATGTTTTCAGGTGCACTGTCTGAGCGTGTGCTTGTGGAATCTCCAGTTTCTTTGGCGTGTTTGGGTGCTGCAGACAGACCTGTCCCACTCGAACCCTTTCCTGTCCCACCCCAAACCCAATCGACGGTTTTGCCTGACCTCAGGATTTTCCATGTGGCACTACCTGGGCACCTCCAGAGGCCAGACTGAGCCTTTCAGCTTTGCAGTTCTGGGGAAGCTTGGGGCAAATCAGTGGGGCAAAGGTGAAAACACACATTAACCTCTACCCATTCTGCACAGTGTCCTCTGCACGAGACCTTGTTCTGTTGTCCTGGATCTGTCATCGCTGCCATCTCCACTCACCATGAACACAAATGTGCATTTTGTGCTTTAGTCCTACCTGTAGTTCAGCCAGGCTGAACCAGGTCAGTATTTGGATAGGAGACCTTCCAGGAGAGTGCACTTACAGTAGGAAACACAGCTCACTTACTGAGACATATTTTTCTATTACTGGTGCCAGTCTTGAGCCTTCTGGTTCTGGGGATGATGACCTATAGAAATTCCAGCTTTGAACGGAGTAAAAGCAAGTTCTTGGGCATTTCTGCTCATGATGGAATTTTTTGCAGTTTACTGCAGAATAGGAGAGTATCCTGGCCGAATTCCACCTGGGGTGATTACATTCAGTTGACTGAAAATGATCAGTGGCAATTGCATTTCACTGTTGGGCAGAGTTCAACACAGGGGTTTAAATTTGTAATGTGGCTTAGGGTAAAGCAGAAAGGAAAAGAATGACAGAAATGTCCCTTTAACCCTAATTCCTGAAGGCCTTGTGAGGCTTGTCAGACTGCTGTTACATTCCTCTAAATGCCAGTGATCCAGCTGGTGGGGCATTCCTTGGAATGCCTGTCAGAACAGTGGTGCTTTGTGTAGGGCACATACACATCCCCACACATCAAGCAGGGAAACAAACAGAATGGGTGAAAAAAAGAAGTAATAAAAGAACACTCAAAGTTTTCTTTGTGACGATGCTGTTCAGGCTGATCCGTGGTTGGTGTTTTGTTCTCAAAAAGGCTGAGTGCTCCTTTAGCTCAAAAAGATAGAGAAAACACTGATGTAAGATATGGAAGGCATCATGGAAGATTATTTTCTGTTATATACGCACCCCATGTATAACAGTTTATTTTTTTTCTGTCCCTGACTTTCCCTCCTTTATTTTGTACCCAGATTTTCTTGCTCCTGTTTGAAATATGCCTTATAACCTTGCAAGTTTTCAGAAGACCACTGTGTTTCACTGGGATAAGGAGTATTGCATCTGCTTCATAGCAGGAGGATGTTGTATGTGTTACAGCTTAACTTTGTTCTACTTTACACCTAGATAAAGGATGAAGACTGTCTATACCATTTTGATTACCTCTTCTAGGGTTCAAAGAGAATCATTTCCCCTGACCTCCATTTGCTAATGGCTCATCTTGATCTAACTGGCACACAGATAAACGTGCTGTTAAACAAAAGTTACAGTAGCAGGAACCACCTCAATGCCCCAAGCTCCTCTGCCTGTGTTGGTGGCTCTCTGTGACCAGCCAAAAGCCGAGCAACGCAGTCCTGAATGCTGCTCCGGAGGAGTTTGGGTGTGAATGGACAGTGCTGCCAGCCCTGAGAGATGAGACAAAGGACCCCGCACCCCAACAGCTCTGCGAGCTCCAAAGATGAGAGTCCTGCACACTGAGTTCCATGCTTTGTCTCCAGAGTGATCTTCGTTCCTGTTAATCTCACCTCACTGCTGGTTACGAGTTTTGCTTTTGGGATTTAGACCACCTCACTTTTACGCCCCGTTTTACACAAAGACTGTTTCTAGGACTGTTAGTGGAATGAGCAAAGCCAATACTCACAGGGTTTAACTTTGTACCAATAGCACCTTTTGCCCCAGAATGCCTTACCAATGCCACCTAGCACGCGTGTCCCAGTGTACGACTTGGCCTGACGTTTCCGCTGGCTTAGGCACCACCTCAGCCTCCCGAGCTGACTTTTAGGGACGTTTCCACACGTAGCATCTCATCCAAGGAGTCAGACACCACCTGTCTGCCGGGTCCGGGAGCTCTCCGTGAATGTGCTCAGAGCTAAAGAGACCACGTGTGCACCCCGCGGGCCGATGCCTTCCACCTGAGCTGCGGAAGCGCCCGAGGGATGGCAGAGGGAGGGGAGGCTGGCGCTCCTCCCGTGCGGCTCTGGGTGCGGCGCGTGGGGGTTTACTGCGATGAGCACCGCAAAACCTGGCTCGTGGCTGCAGAAGAGGCAAGTGTGTGCTTTGAGCTTCCCCGTGGTTGTAGCATTGCTGTTTCAGGTGCCTCTGCCAGTAACTGCCTGCTCTGTTTGTTACTTTCCCCCAGGAGGAAGGTATGCTGAGGGCTCGGATCCAAAGAGTTCAGGTTCCCCTGGGTGAGGCGCTGCGACCCAGCCAGCTCCCCCCATCCCGGCTGCCTCACATGTGGCAGCTGTCCCAGGGTGAGCAGTACAGGGATAGTAACTCTCGCGTTTGGGAGATAGAGCACCATCTCATGGTAAGGATGGTGGCAACAATAGACCATAGTCATGCCTGTTTGTGAAGTCATTTGAGATCCTTGAGGGACGGCAAAGGACTGTTATTTTGTTGAAGTCCATTAGCTCAACCACAGTAACTGTAGACGTATTGAACTTTTCCTTGTCACTTACAGCTTGGTGGTGTTGAAGAACTGCTGCTTAAACTCGTGCCTGGGGATTAATCTGGTATGTGCAGACATTACCCCTGCTTTGTACTGTGCACTGTTTACTTCCAGTCTTTCTTTAATATGAATTTTTGTCTTTCAGGAGCAGTGGCTCTAGGAAGATGCTATTGTCTGTTTTGTACAATAAAAGGTTCTCTCTCCACTGAAATGCAGCCACCTTTGAGGTGGAAGTAGTTAAACAACACACAGCAACATCACACAAGAGTTTAGGACAGGCAGTGAAGTGGAACAGCCAAGTGAAACATCAGGGGGAGTTCTAGGTAGGCAGAATGTAATTGCCCCAAGTGGAATTTGGCCAGGATGCTGCAAATAATACCCTAATGATACTGGAAACTGCTGTGGGCTGGTGACTTGTCAGAAACTGGAAAGGCAGCAGCTCCCAGCTCTGAGCAGAGGCTGAACTGTGACTCAGAGGGTTCAGTCTCACCACCACTTTTGGTGACACTGGTGCTTTCCTTAGAGGTCTCCCATTCACCTACTGGTACCATCAGCTTTTGCTTGGCTTTTGATCTTACACTGACACAGTTACAGGTGTCGTAGCTGCAGAAAAATCAATTTGAGTGTCTGAAATCCTTTTCTGTTGGATTTGAACAAGATGGAGATGTTCTCCAATCTGGTTGAGTGGTTTTTTTGGACAGAGGGAAATGATTTCCAAGAGTCTTTCTTCTGAAACAAAATGAAAAAAGCCCTTCTTGTTGGCTTTATGGCATGTACACAACTGAGTTGTTTGGTTGATTATGTTTTTAAATGCCTTTTCCAGCTGCAGTTCCGTGACTTGCCACCAAATCCTTGATTGTGTAAAGCTCACAGAGGTGGATTTCACATAAAAATGTGTCTCAGTATAAGGTATAGAGATAGAAAACTCTTAAAATGTAGTCAGCCACGTTAATGTGAATCTTTTCTGGAATCTTTGTACATCCAAGTGGAAAATGACATGTTTTAACTAGAGAAAGGAAAAGGCTTTTAAACTAGTGACATAAAACTTCCCCTGTTCATTGTCCCCATCATCATCTTTTAGCCAGACACAGAGAGTTCTTGTGTATATTGGCAGGCACCTGCAAGCAGCAGTAGATGTTTCCTGAATGATGACAGTGGGGGAAACTGGGAGCTCCTGAAAGATGAGGCTATAGGACATTGTCTTTCCCCCAACCCCTTGAAAAGAACCTTGACCTACAGTAACATTTTCCTATCATTTTAGTTCCTGAACATGTCCCGGAAGGATCCCTGCCAGAAACAAGCCTGTGAAATACAGAAATGCTTGCAAGGTACCACGTGTCATTTTGTCTTTGGTGTCTTGATTTTTGATAGAACTTAATTCTTTTAACTTAACCTTGTTGATCTTTCACCTTGACAAGGAATGATCACATTAGCATCTCCTGGTTGCAAAATGAACAAAATTATAATGTTTGATTTTAATAGAATTGCTTTGTGCTTAATTGTAAATAATGAGACATCACTAGTATAAAGCAGAGCATTAGTAACAGTAATGTGCTTGTAGTGTTCTCCATGCTGGCAGTGAGATCCCTGGTGTATTTTTGAGACTCAGCTGTGTGCAGGGAGGGCTAGACATTATAATAAGCTCTCTTACACTGTGGTTAGTGAGGAAGTAGGTGGATTGTATGAGAAGACTGCAGAGCTGCTCCAGAGGTGTTTCAAGAGCAGGTGAGACAGGAGTCTGTCTGGAACAGGTTAGGTGATCTGTCCTGGAGGTATGAGATGGTCTTCATGTCCACAGCATTTGTCTAGAGACTTTTATTGTCCTCATGGTTTGGAGCATTCTCCCACAAAGGACTACCTTCTCTCACTGTACTACTGCACTTTAGGCTTATGGTGTGACAATGTTCTTTTTATAACATTGGTAACATTTTATAACATCTGTGGAAGTGACTCGAAGTGTTCTGCCTGTGTAGGTTTGTGTACAGTGTTGCTCTGAATGGTTAAGTGTTGGCAGAGAAGCTCTTGCTGCATGTACACTTCACTGTCACTGCTGCTCGAGGTGTCATTTTGGAGTGCTGCTGTTCACGTATGATGCTGTGAAGTTGTCGATAGCACAGATGAAGCAGCTGAGTTGACAGAGAGGAAAGCAATTTTCCTCTGTAAAAATTAAAGTACAGAGCCTTAACTGAGGAATGCACAGTCACTACACCCAGTGTGTGATATGGGAGGGTGGGAGCTGGACCTTTGGGACATGCTGACTTCTCAAAAGTCATTGTTCCAAAAGATCTTGCTGCTTCCTCTGTGAGACTGAATGCCTGCTGTAAATCTCTTTTGTGTTTTCCTATCTGTGTGTGACTTTCAGGAATGCATCCTTGACAGATAACGGTGTGCCTGTACATAGTTACAGTTCTAGAAATAAAGCTGCAAAGGCAGAGGGACAGTTAGGAGAGCCTTGGAGCACTCATCAACTGCAGGTTATGGCGAGAGAGATCAGCTCTCCTCTCCAAGGGCCTGCCGTGCCTCCTGGGCTGCCAGCTTGCAGACATCACCACAGCCTTTTTCTCAGGGGTGATCTCTGTGTTTGTATTACAGCTCACTCACCAACCCAGTCAGGGAATTCATAGCCCAGTGATCACAGCAGTGTGGTTTGCTCATTAACCAGAAGGTGTTTGCTGCTGCTTTCTGGGCTCTCCATGGGTGTTCTGTGTCTCACATTATGCTGCTCTTGCTTCTTTTAATCTTTTAAAAGTCAGGGTAGGTGTGAGTACAGCTGTGTAGTGGTTGCAGAGCTCATCCAAGGCAGAGCAGGTGGCTGTGCGTGCCCTGTGTTTCTGAGCAGACGGGCAGGTGGTTCTTAACTCAAACCAGACTCAGCCTCTTCCCGTGGGGCTCCTCTCCAAGAGCTTTGGCCGCAGCTTTAGATAGCCAGAACTAAAGAAAGGTTTTTGGGAGCAAGAAAATGATGGAATGCTTGTAAGCAGCTGCAGAGCTGGGCTAGGTGTGGTCCCTCAGGGAACAAAGCCTGTTCCTCTGCAGATCTGGTGTCTCCTCCTTATTTTCCAGAGAACAACTATCTGGAGTCCAAGTGTGAAGCTGTGCTTCAGGAGATGCGGAAATGCTGCGCTCGGTACACCAAGGGCAGATCCGTCTGTTGTTCAGGGTTTGAGAGAGAAGAAAGGGAGAGAGAAAAGGTTAAGTTGACTGCAGAAGGAATTTCCCCACCACCTCAGTAACACAATGCAGCTCCAGCAGGTGCTGGAGCATGAACTCACTTGAAGAGCTCGTGTGTGTTTTTTCAAGCCTTCTTTAGACTTTCAGAAAAGCCAGATTGCTCCTGGAACACACCGTTCAGCACACCAAAAAGCATTACACAGTACCAACAGATGGCCTGGTTAACTTTATTTTCTGTAGGAAAACATAATCTATGTTGCCTCTGCATCACACCTGTGAAATGTCAACTTGATGTTTTTAGGATGCTTACCTTACTCTAATCCATCCTTGCTCTAAAAATGGAGAATTGGAACCAAGTTATTCTGGCTTCTGGAGTGAGAGGTACAGGAAATGAGCTCAGAAGAGTGAGTTTAAACATGAAACAAACCCATCTTGATACAACAAAGGTATTGCTGCCACCATGCAGTAGTTCAAGACAACATTTGCCTGTCCAGTGGTTCAAGCTCAAGAATGGGAATCAGGTCTGGTGATTGTTCCTAAGTCTTGCATAGATCATGAGTGACTACAAGTCACTTTGCCTAAGTGCCTCACTTTTCCACTGGACAGAGTTGTTTCTTTTATATTTGAATTGCCTACACGCTGCTATTTGCATGATAAAGATGTTACAGGAGTATTATTTCAGGGATTGCTACAGGGATAGGATATTTTTTTAAAAAAGCAATATTCATTTGAAAGATTGACTGTTGATACAAAATTTATAAATTTATGTCTAATTGAACACCTTTAGCAATATGCTTTGAATCTAAGTCTAGTTAAAATTGCTGATACCCAAAGGCCTGTCACAGAGCCCTGGGCTAGATCCAAGAACTGACTTAGGTGCTGCTTACTGAACAAGCAGTTGTAGGCATTTATTTTCCACACAGCATTCCAGACTCACTCTCAAGCCCGTTATGTCTGGACCCCAGGAGAGATGGCTTTCCAGAAGCTCTTGACCATGCAGCAGAATTTCCTGTGACCTGTAGGAAGAGCTCATAGACAGGTTCCTGCACCACCCTTCAGAGCTGCCTGTCTCGCTATCCCCAGGATATCCCAGCAGGAGTCCAGGCACCCAAATATCAGGCTCCCAACCCACTAGCCCTAACTCTGTATTAGATCTAGCCGTAAAGGACTTTTGTGCTGTGATCAAGTACAACTTATGAAATAGAGCTTCTATAAACCACTGATGTCTAGGCACAATAGTTGTGTGTATTGAAGCCTAGAAGAGCAAACCATCTGTATTCACTGCTCTGAAATACCATGGTACAAAATAAACGACTGGAACAAATTGTGGTCTCTGGTTGTTTGTTGAGCTGCAAGCCAGGCAGCTTGGCTGCCATTCACAACCCAGGGCTACATGTGGTCATATTTAAATAGAAGCTGCTTGATATTTTTATAACTGGGGCTGAAGATCAGAACAATTTAGGGCTTGTCTTCCCCCCTCCAATGCCATCCTCCCCCAAGCAAAAACCCTTCAGATAAAACAGGGGGTTTAGTGTCCCTGAAAAGCAAGGAAAAGTGATGACAATGATGTGAAACACCTCAAACACTGACAAGTAGCTCATTTTTCTTTCTTGCCCAATCTGAGCAGGAACGGTAGAAAGAAAGTCACTAATAGATGATAAAATATATATATTTAGGCTTCTGTTGCACCTATGAAAAAGAAATAGCCTTGTCTCCATGTCCATTTGAAGTTGGGTGGAATAAATTTGCTCAGCAGAGACGACCCAGGCTGGCTACAAACCCACCTCCTGCCCTAGCAGCATCTCACTTCTTGGGAATATGGATGATTGGTGCCAGGATGATCAAGGAGAGGGATTGATTAAGGTAGCCCAGGTGGGTGAGAGGAGGCTGGTGCCTTCATAGAATCGTTTATGTTGGAAAAGACCTTTAAGATCGAGTCCAACCATTCCCCCAGCACTGCCCAGCTGACCACTAACCCATGTCCCCAAGTGCTACCTGCTCCACACTCCTGCTGCTGGGCTGGCTGTAGGTGCTCCCCTCAGTCACAGTGAGACAGGAACGTGCTGGTTCCCATGACGCCAACAGACCTCACACAGAGACGCATTTAGAGCAAAACTGTTTAATAAAATATCACCTCAACAAGCATTTACATAGAATATATAAAACCACTTTAAAAGCCTAACGTGTTTGAAATCTTCTCATAGTGTAACAGATGTCAGAAGTTGTTGAAACAAGACTAAAAGGAGCAGAAATGGGGAGGGGAAGGGACACTTCATCTTGGCACCTGCAGCAATGAAAATGCATCCCCACAGAGACTGATTCAGCATCAAAGCTTCCAGTGTTGACCCACAGCATCAAACAATGCCAGCCATGAGCCCAACACCAGCACAGCAGAAAGATTTGCCACATCCTGATGTCCTTGTCCATTCCCTGCCTACATTCACATCAAACTCAGCATAACTCTGCTGTTTCCCCTTTCAGCAGCAATACAAACATTTTAGCTCCCTCTCTGGGCCATTTCTCTACATAGCAGCAAACTGGGACTTAGGCAGAACTCACCCCACCTAGGGCTGGGGACAAGTAGTGACTGACTTGAGCCTGAAAAACATCCCTAAGGTTTGTTAATGTTTTGCTTTGAACTTTGTCGCTAGAGACAGCTTTGTGGAGATCAGTGCATCTCAGAAGAAGTTGTGTTCTGCAGCACACCCAGCCAAAGAGCAGCAATGCTGTTGTCCTACAGGAACAAGAGATACTCTGAAAGACCAATGTATCAATTTAGGTGTGGTCACATCTACAGAAAAACCAAATCCCAAAAAACCACCACCACCATCTGTCACTCCACTGCTAAACACCAATTTACTGAAGACCTATTTGCTGCATCCTAACACTCCTGCAGTCCAGGATGGACTTTAGGAAGGCTATTGTTAAAAAGATGTGAGCCCAGCTGCTCCTTCATTCTCCTTGGCCATGTATGGCAGAACAGGAGCAAAGACAGCAACTTCCATCTCTTGATCACCTGCAGCCTCTTTCCAGATCCTGAAGGTGAGAAAAACCTCAGCTTAATCAATGTGGTGCTACAGGGACACTTCAATCAACAGAGTGAAACAAAATTACCAACTGCAAGTGTTCATACCAAACCAAAAAGTGCTCTGGTGGAAGAACCCACCATTTTAGCTTTGCCAGCAGCTCTCAGGGGAAGATCCCCTTTCCAGCTATACTGAGAACAGCAGATCACAAAGCTGTTGTTCTACCACCCATTGGAAATGGGATGCAGCTGCTGAGCCAGGTGCTGCAAACCACCCACCCATGAGTGTCATTGCTCCCTACCATGTTTCCCATTGAAGGATGAGCTGACTTCCACATAAGACCCCACATGCTGGGCAAGAACTCCTACCTATACCTGCTGGAAGACATCACCATGTTGACAAGACCATCAGGCAAGTCTCTATGCTTGCAGAATACCTCTGGGGGATGTTTGTTTGTACTGCACACAACCACACTGAGTCAGACTGCCCAAAAACAGCTGAGCTCTGCACCTGTGCTGCCTCATCTCCTGCAGAAGGGCTGCAGCTGATGGAATTAAGCAAACAGCTTTTCTTGTGGAAATGGCAAACACACAGAAGGAAGAAACATAACTGAGGCAGAAATATGCAAATGAACCACTCTCACAAGAGCATGGTCTCATTTTCACAAGTTTTGTCATTTCAGCTGCTTGCTGAGACCACGGAGAAGGAATTTGTGCTCTTTGGAGGCAAGTAAAGGACTGCACTCAGATTTCACATCCCCCTTTCTCCAGTATAGCTGGCAACAGGGACCTGGACAAGTACAATATACCCTAAGCAGGGATGCATTTCCTGTCTACAATCCTGTCCTACATGGCTACAGGTCAAAGAGCATCAGCAACACCAAAGTGACCAAAGAAGGTGGTAGATGTGGAAACCCCAGTCAGAGGCCCAGGGTGATTTAATGTAAGTGGCACAGCTGAAATGCCCCCATCTGATGCAGCCAGGTTGGGCCTGCTGGAAGCAGGAGAGAGACCCAAAGGCTGAGCAGTCAGGTGGCTGTACAGCATAGAACTTGGTGACTTTCAGACCACATGATGAGGAAAGGGCCTGGAGAGTCAGCCTCAGTGCTCAGTTTCCATCAGCAGTGCCAGTGCTGCAATTCCAGTATGGGGAAGGAAACCAGCAGAGACAAAGCCAAATGGCCATCTATATGCAGTGCAACAGCAGGGGAAGGGCAGGAAAATCCATATTCTCCTGTCCCAGACACAGCTCAGGCTGTCTTTTGACACTTCTGCATCCACTCCAGGACAAACCACCACATTTTGGATTGTACAGACCACCTCTGAGAGGTGAAGAGAGGTTTTCCAGGTACCAGGGCAGGAATACTGAAAGCTAAATTGCGGTGAAGAGATGACAGCCATTTGACACATATACTGGCAGACGAAGGTACACAGAACAGTCCTGAGCACCTGAAAGAAGCACATTTAAGAGGTTTCTCTGCCACTACATTTTTATGAAGTTGAAACTCATCAGAAAATTTGATACTGGGCATATTTGGTGGGAAATGATGATACACTGGAAGTTTTAAGCTTCCAGACTAACCGCAGCACACTAACAACCCAGACAGAAGAAAAAGGTGGAAATAGAAGCAGCGTTGTAAGAAATAAGGGCTGGAACCTGTGAGCAGATGGAACTGAGTCTGTTGGCAACATCCTTTGACTTCTAAGTGAGAGATAGCAGTAGAGGAGGGGAGGGGAGGTCGGGCATGAGAGGAGAGTGCAGTTTCTAGGATGCCATTCCAAGCAGGAATCCTCCGGCAAACCCTCCAGTCAGGATAACATTCTTCTTCAGAAATATGACCACCTAAGCAGGGGTGAGAAGAGATAACAGTGTTCAACAACATCAGGCCACCCATTGACCCTCCTGCTAAGAAGGAATCCCTCGGGCTGTTCTTCGAGGCAAGTGATGCTCACAGAGATGCCACTGCTCAGATTTGGGAAAGCTTCCTACCTAACGACCTCCCCTCCCCAGCTGCACCAGCACACAGCCAGATCTTCACCCTGCTCAGCCATGAGCAATCAGCTCCTCCAGGAGAATGCTGTGGGAAATTATGTTTTCTAAACTCTAGGTAGACAACATCCACAGCTTTTACCATCCCTCCCATTTTGCTGTCATGCAAGAATTCCCTCCTTGTATTTGCACAATTGAACATCTGTAACAGCTCAGGAGTCAATCCTGTTTTCTGCTATCCCTTCAGCACATGCCCTGAGAGAGCTGTCTCACCTCATCCACTCTGCTTTTCACTTCTGGAGGCATTTTATTACCACTGCTGTGAAATTTCAGCTGCTGCTTGGCTTTGTTCATGTCCCGTTGTACTAGATTCCAGTCCACCTTGATGTATCCCGTGTGGTTTGCAATCTAGAGTTTTGAGGATTAGAAAAAAGTTCCTGAAGTCCTGTATGACCACAGTTAAACAGACCCCTTGCTCACTCACCTTCCCTGATCTCAGCCACCTCCTACTCACTGCTCCAGTGGGCACACTGGCTTAAAAGTTGGACAGAACACCACCCCTGGAGCTATGTCAAGTGTTCTGCAACATCTATCTCCCACTGTAATCCCCCAACAGCTGGGCACACACTGCAGCTTAGCCTGCTTCAGCCTCTCTTCCCCAGTGTAAATCACCTCCCTCTCACAACTGCCATGGACATTGTTGGGACTCCCTGCAGTTCTCCTGCTGCTGTGGGTGGACACAGCTATTAATAGCCCATTCCTCTCAAACTGTTTTATCTGCTCAGGGTGATTCAGCTGTGGAACTCCCTCTGCCCAGAGCAAGCTTTTGACTTTCAGCAGAACAAGCAGAACCACGAGAGCGAGGGAGAATGAATCACACACAAGACCTGTCTGCCTGAGGAGCAAACAGGTGAGAGGTGAACAAGGCCTGAGAGCTGCTCTACCTGCTCCAGAATGCACCAGATACACGAACACATTGAGCAGCTTCCCTCAATGCGAGGGCTCTTGGAACCAGTTGAAGTGGTAGAAGACACAGAGAGATCACCTTTCTCTCTTTTCCAGCACTTTACAGTGAGCCCTATCTGTGCTGGCTGGACTCCTAAGGAAGCCAGGTTGGCAGGAAGCATATCACAGATAAATCCTTCTTGACATCCAGGGCTGCTCCTCCAGGGACACTATGTCCACAGCCAGAGGACTCAGTATGTTAGCCTGTTCTGCAGCAGCAGCATGGCTCACTGCAACTGAAGGCTGTCTCATACTCCACTCAGGTGCCCCTGCAGTAACAGCTCTCCTGTGCCTTTGGTAGCAG